CTTGTACAGTCATATACCGTAAATCACTATATAAATCATAATAATCTCTAAATCACACATGAAGTGAAAAACACAACAGTTTAATGTAAATTAATTTAAAACTGAAACATGTACAAGTGAGACTGAGCTTTTCTGAGTTCAGTCTTAATTACAAAAGGGGGAAAAGAACAACATATTTCCATAGTAACTTAATGACATACAGTTGGTAATCCTTATTTGTATGTGGTATGCTGTGTATACTCCATGTTGTGGTGCATTTTTCTGGGAGTTACTCTCACAGCATCAACAAGAATCTAAACAGAAAGAAAAAAGCATGTTTAGTGGTTACAGAAATTCCAGTGTGTGTGTGTGTGTGTGTGTGTGTGTGTGTGTGTGTGTGTGTGTGTGTGTGTGTGTGTGTGTGTGTGTGTGTGTGTGTGTGTGTGTGTGTGTGTGTGTGTACCTTTTAATCCTGTCACTGCTCTGTCATGTGCGCTTCACTGGCAGTTTCTTCCAGGTCAGTTTGAAGTCTGTCATTCCCTTTTTAGCAAGCGCTGCCTGCAACTGAAGGAGACAGGTGATCATTTTCCTTCCTCAGTCCTGTTTCCATCACTTTAGAGATATAACATTGATTACAATCTTTTTGTTCCCAGAAAATAATGCATGTCCCCACAGAGTGAGTGTGTAAACTCCCTAGAATAGGGAGGCGTGTGGTGCAGTGGGTTGTGCGTTGGTGCGTTGGTGTTCGGATCAGGGGAGCACAGGTTCAAACCCCACTGCAGTCAGCATGTCGTTGTGTCCCTGAAGACACTTCACCCCAAATTGCTCCGGTGGGGATTGCCCACAGTATTGAGTATGTAAGTCGCTTTGGATAAAAGTGTCTAACAAGTGACATGTAATGTAATGTAAGTATGTGCCCACAATATCAGTAATACAGACACACACACACACACACACACACACACACACACACACACACACACACACACACACACACACACACACACAGACATATTCACACACAATCCTGTTTCCATCCCTTTAAAACCAGTTAAGCCCTGAGCCTGTTTTTCAGGTCTCAGGCTCAAAAATGACATGCCCAGAACAAATGACTATATCTTCACTTCTAAAAGGGGTAAATTAATAATAATTGTTCTCCAAGCAATGATAAACCTGTGAGTTGGATGTAGAAAAGTCAGAATCAATATAGATTTTTTTTATTTTAAAGTAAATTCAGATTGAACATAGTAAAAAAAAATTTTTCAACAAAAATAACTTGAGTCACAACAACAACAAAAGTCNAAACTTCCATAGAAAACCCCACAGTTTAAAGGGGAAGAAAGAAGGAAGGAGAAACCTCAGGGAGAGCAACAGAGGAGGGATCCCTCTCCCAGGACGGACAGACGTGCAATAGATGCCGTGTGTAAATCGAAAAGATAATACATTTACAACATAGGTAGACAAAACATTTCTCTGGAGTGTTTGGCTCTAAATACCAAACAGATCATTGTAGCATCCCATAATCCCCTCTGTTTCAGGCCTGTTTCAAAAGTGCTGATTCTGTGTCTGTTACTTTAGATGAAAATAAGGAACCCCTCCCCACGCTCCTCTGAGAGATATTTGGTTAAAAAGAACACAATGGTGCTCTAGGAGGAGATTCAGGTGATAAGGTGGGGGGGGGGTTACCTTGGTTGGTGATTGGCTAATGATTACACAAGCCAAGACATCGTTATGACATCATAAAGTGGCCAGAATCTGATCAGCTCATTTTCAGACAGGTTTTTATATAAATTGATCAGGACAAAAAGTGAGTGAATATTTTTTCCGGAAACTCCCAGAATCTCTTTGCACAGAGGGGACACATGTTTATGTATAAAAGATGTGAAAAAGTGGATTTTGCATAATAGGTGAACTTTAATAGAACAACAATGTCATTGTTAGCTAATTAATTTTTCGATGCTGAACAACCGCAAAATGACAAAGTTTTCATTGGTCCCTCTTCTTTCGTGTTCAAATCAATATGCACGCAATGACTCTAAATAATAATGATCAGGCCACCAAACACAGATTAAAACTAAAGTAACAAACCTGTTTTGAAAATTTTGCTAAGAAGTAGAAAGTACAGGTATTTGTGTAAGAGGTAAAAGTAAATAGTCGTCAGAAAAATAAGTAATGGAGTAAAGTACTGATACCAGAAAAACGCACTTAAGTACAGTAACAAAGTAGTTGTACTCCACTACTTCCCACCTCTGCCTCACCCCATCTGGGCCCTGGGTAGTCAGTCCCACTTGTCCCCCCACTACGACGCCCCTGCTGATACTAACTGAACTTTAAATATGATTAATACACCTTCCATGCTTTGCATAATGAGACAGTTCCGCACATGCCGCTTCTATCTGCTTGAAAACAGGGGAAATATTTGAGTCATACCTCCATAGCAGAAGAAAGGGTACGTTGCGTTGCAGGGCTCATCCGTCCAGGTTCCATCTTTCAACACTACGGCTGCACAACGGTTTTCTCCGCTTGAGTTGTCAGGTTGCCCCTCTTGCCAGTTTGTGAAGTTGTTTTCTCCAGCTTCTGACCAATACCAGAGTTTAGGTCTGCTGAGGCCAATCCATATTTCTGTTTGGTTCCCCTTTGGCTGTACCTCAGAATTCACCTCCGAATCAGGGATTGTGGCCAGAAGCGAACCATTTTCTGTACAACTGGTTTTGGCGTCATTCCAAGTCATCTCTCCTTCACCTTCATGTAACCTCTCTAAATGTGTGGAGATACAAAAATAAATAAGTATTATAATATAGTAGCAAAACTAAACGATTGTCAGAGAAAAAAAGTAGGTGAGCATCAAAAGCAAAGTATACAATGTGTATACATTTAATGAAAATAATTCAAGTACAAAAGTTTGGTGTACAATTTGGCCATAAATGTAACTTTGACTCCACATCATGATAATGCATAAAAATGCAAGCTAAACAATGAAAAAGTATGGAACAAGGACCTCCAAAATGTGTAGATTGTGGAAAATAAGCGCTGGAAACATCATATGTTGTTGCATTAATGTAAGATATTCTGCTAAGTAAGACGAGATTTTAGCATTCTAATTGAGTTGAACCAGAAAGGAGAGCACTGAAATATCAAAACGATGCTAATTACCATCTTGACAAACAAAGGGTTTCTTAAGTGAGCAGTTGGCAAAGCCCCAGTGTCCATCATTGTCGATGGTCACACAGTACTCGTCAGTGTCAATGTTATCTGGCTGAACATTTCCCCATTCAAAATATGTGGCTGTTTCTCCATCCACCCAGGTCCAATCTGAAGCGTTCTCAAACAGTCCGATCCAGGCCTTGTCTGTGTACCCCGCAGTCTGAATGTTCATCATTGAGGTGTTGTTTTCCAGGCTTTGTATTTGGGCCATTTCATTTTGCTCCATGAGGCAGTATTGATATGCTTCATCCCAGGTCATGTTCTTATTAATGAAGAGGTAGTCGTTTCGAAAAGGTGTGCATGGGGTGCAGAAGCCTGAGGAGCAAGGTAGATTTGTGGAAACGTGATATTTGGACAGTCAAACAGAAATTAAAACGTTGTTTACTCAAAAATAATTGGACAAAATTTGATGTTTTTTGAAAAATATGATTTTCAAACATATACAGACCAAATACCAAAAACATCTCACAGCTGACACATCGGATTATTTGATGGTTTGTTCCCATAATCTCATAATCTATCATTCTTCACATGATCTCACCTGAAAGCAGGAGAATCACCATCAGAGTCTCGTCCATGCTGACTTTAACTGTAGATACAATAAAGATCCAGCATTTTCAATTAGCACTCATATACTGAAGTACTAAAAGTACAAGCATCAATATATCATTTAAGAACAAACCATAAGAGTCATGCAGAATGGCCCATTTCCGATTGATATATAATATTAAATATTGATTCATTAATGAGTATCTATATATTGCCAGATGGCTTGTGGGTGACAACTACACACTCCTTTGAGAAATTAAAATTGTAATATTCATGTTCTTCTCAGAAAAAATAAGGAATTCTGAAGTCGATAAAAATCAAATACAATTAAGACAAGATACATACAATTAAATTTTTTATGCTGTCTCTCCTCACTAATCTTTCTTGTTTCATGTCACAAGTAAAATAAAGAAATTGAAGATAGTTACAGAAACAATTACACTTAATGAAGCTATATTTACTTAGATATCCACTTACCAAAAATAGATTTCTTCAGTTGCTTGTTTGGTGTTTTACCACAACTGTGTGTTTGAGGCTGCTTTTATACATGGATGCAAATCCGTACAGCTCATCTCTAGCTGCTTGATAAACTTTAAAAGACACCGATTGGATGAGAAAGTCTGTGACACAGCTTTGATGAAAAAGTGTTTCCTCTATCAAAGTCTGAAGACACATTTATGCTGTTTATAAACGTAAACATTTGAAGTGCAGCACACCAACAGTAGAGATAATTGATATATATCCATAAAAAAAGTGATGATTTTAAATGATATCTGTAGATCTCCAAAATCTTAACTTTCTGACAAAGTTAATTCCAAATACCATGAAATTCCTGAGAACCAGAAAACAGTGATATATTTATTATGAGAAAGTGAAAGGCAAATACTTTTCCTTAATATTCAACAGCCTTTTGTTATATGTTATAAGTAACTAAACGTTGCTTTTTATCTTGTTTTTGGATCGTAAATTAAAATCAAATAGACTCAATCATCTCTTTTTCCTCAAGGCAAAAAGGGAATTACTGAATATGTATTGGCTCATTTTCCTTGTCTCAGCAAGAAAGCAAAGACGCCTGAATCTAAAAATGTCAAACTAACTGCTGCGGCTGACTTTGCATCAGAGCTTGATTTAATCGTTTTGGTTTTTTTAAAAGATATTTTAATACAAAGTAGAAATGTTTAAGTTAAATCCAATTATATTTCTGACAGAAAACATTGGATGGGAGATTTAGGTTTCTGAGTGCTTAGCCTCATTTACATCATCAGTAGCACTAAGTGTATCTTGACATTATATCTATTCCTACATTTCAATGAACCATCGGGAAAGCCTTGCATTGCAAATGTTATGAAGCTTGCAAATAGTTTGTGTTTTTAGTGATGAGGTTCAAGAACATTTACCTTCAAACAATCAAACAGATCAGAAACAATTCAAAGTTCCTTGTGGAGTTTTTGGCCAGCAGTGTAGGACTGGTACAACAAGGTCGTATAATAGAACAGAGACATGGATATATTGTTATCTGCCTTTTAAACATAATGGCAGATGCTAAATATTAATATTTACCTTTGTGTCAAATATTTAAAGCAGACCTATTAAAACAAGGTGCTCGTTAACATCCCCCTGATATAAGAAACAATCAGACTGCCACATTTTACTCCTGGATGTTGGTTTTGTGAATTTGAATGATACATTTAAAAAGATTTGGATACAAAAACAATCTAGTCATGGCAAAATGTCTTTGGAAAATAAATCTATACTGAAGTAAAAACACAGACCTAACATGTACGACTATTAGTTCTTAAATCAAAACACATGCTGTCTGGGCCTATTTTCTTTTCTTTATTATTTGGTCAACATCATGGTATTGTTGCTATGATACCACCATTATCAAGATGACCCACATTTTATATCTCACTAGATTACCTATAATCTTTGTGTACTGTTTAATATTTTGAAGTAAATTTTACTTTACTGTACATTTAGGTTCTATAGTCTATAGAGAGTATATAGAGCGTATACAATATCAGTTTTTATATTTAGGGAACATTTTTCCATTTACGGGGTTACCTTCAAATTCTATTTGAAAATATTTTAATATACTATAAAACAAATAAAAGCAACTCAGATTATTACTGATATTTATATTTCCTTTGAGATATGGGGGGTCAGTGGCTCAGACCGTAAGGATTTGGCTTGGCAACAGAGGGTCACTGTTCTAAGTCCTCGAATGGAGAGGCAGCACTTTGCCTCCTTACTATATGACAGCTCATCTGTGCCACAGACCGAGTTCAAAGTTTATAATGCTTGAAGTTTATTGATTTCTAATGAGATCACACAATAATTATTATTCAAGCAGTTCATATTTTTTATATATCTTAAAATATGTCGGCTGCAACAAGTCCTCCAACTAATACGACCAAATAGGTCGATTGTTTTCCGACCCAAATACGACCCACAGCAGCGTTTTCAATCAACGTCTTTCCCCCTATTCATTTCTAGCAGCGAAGAAGAAGAAGAAGAAGAAGAAGAAGAAGAAGAAGAAGAAGAAGAAGGTCGTCATAAACTGCTGCTAGAAATGAATAGACGGGAGCATGTTGTTTCTTACACGACCACTAGAGGTGCTACACTTTAAAACGCTGCTGTGGGTCATATTTGGGTCGGAAAACAATCGACCTATTTGGTCGTTTTTTGTAGGAGGATAGGCTGGTTAAAAGACCGGACCGATAGGCGGTATCGATAAAAGTAGTAGTACCGTTAAAACCATAACGATACCCATCCCTAGATATGAATGATAATGGGACACATCGACGTCTGCACTCACAGTGCCGCGGACTGTACGTAATGTAACTCTGATCTGGTTACTTATGTTGTGGCAGATATTTAATTAAAGGTCCCATGTCATGCTTTTGGGTTATTACCCGTCCTCTTCTGTGTTATGAAGGTTTTTATGCATGTAAACGGTCTGCAGAGTCACAAACCCTCAAAGTACACCCTGTAGCGAGTAAAACTCTAACGCAGAAAATACCTCCCCAAAACGCCTCGTTGGATTTTCTGCGTTAGAGTTTTACTCGCTACAGGGTGTACTTTGAGGGTTTGTGACTCTGCAGACCGTTTACATGCATNTTACGCCGGTTGTTAAACAACATCGTTATGGGGAAATGCAAGTTTGCGTCCAAATGGTTGGAAGATAAGGAGGAAGGACAATCAATACTGTATATAGTCAATGTGAGGTAAAGTGTGTTGCCAAGGTAACCGGTTAGAATTCGAAGTGGCGATGAGGTCTTAAAATGTATGGAAAGGGTCTTAAAGAAGGTCTTAAAAGGAATTACACTTGACTTCAGGATTCCTGCATATACCCTGCATTAGACCAGAGGTCGGCAACCCCTGGCACGCGTGCCACCGTAACCAGTGGCACACTAGGAATAAGTGAAATAAGTGTGCAAAATATTTAAATTGTATTTTCGGATCCTGAACGAAACCGCCGCCCGAGTTCCTCCCCGTTACCTGCAGAAGGAAGCCATGCACGCAACGCAGCCCCGCTCTCTTTAACTCCAGGCGATGTTCTGCCGCTTTCCTCCGTGGTGCAGAGCTGATCATTTCACCACAGAGGAATGCACTTCACAAATTGCAGTAGGCTTACCCATAAGGAGCTGTAGAAATGCCGCAGTTTTTGTGTGGCTGTGTCTTTAGTTGAAAGCCCAGTGGCGATCTGCTCATCTCTCATCGAAATAACATGCTACACAGGGGCGGACTGGCCATCTGTGTGTTCTGGAGAATCACAGAACGGGCGATCGTCCTTATTATTATGCCGTTCAAACCAATTATTTCTATTTCAGTTTGTTAAATTCGGCATCATGTAAGTTGCGCTGACAGGTCAACACACTGCTTCCCCGCTGCGAGGCTCCCACCCCCCGTTGATGATTCACGATCGTCGGCACGCTGATACCATTCTTTTTTTTTTAATGGCACTTCATATCAAAAAGCTTACCGACCCCTGAATTAGACAGACCTTAGTTTTAAGTGTTATTTGCTCCAAATAAGGATGACAATGATGTAAATGCCTACATGTGTTTTGTATATAGTAGGGTAATGAAATAATAACGTGTTATGGATAGATTTATATTTCTGTCTGTGTGAATGGAACGTTTGGTTCACTGTGTAAACATCAGCAGGAAATTGCCTAGTTAAGTGAGAGAGGCAAAGGTGAACCATGATTTAAAAATACCCACACAAGCCACTGAGAATCAGAGCGGCGTGTGAAAAACGGTCTTTATGAAAGCATTATTTGACTCCACATGTTCTGCAGATCTACACTGATATTTCCACAGCTCACTTTTCAATTTTTCATCAGAACATTAACGGTTAAAAACTCCGATCTTTCTCAGCAGGTCAATGTTCACCTTTTTATTGAATAGTTATTTGTCATGTTTGTGTAAAAGCAGAGGTATTTTGCTGTCTAGTTAGTTTCCTGGCGTTCAGAAGTACCTCTATTCATCCACCAGAGGGCTTTCATGTCCTGTGTGTGTAAGGTAGAGATGTGACTGCAGGTTTCATACTGAAAGTGTTTCTGTATGATTTACCTAGTGACCTTTTATAACTCAGGTCTTAATATAACATCTATAAAAAATATATATTATAACAATTTAATATTACATTTATCAAAAATGTTTAGCTGACACTACTTAAATCAAAGCTTTTACGATAGTGTTGGAGAATTAATAGATAAAGCTGCAAGGCAAGGCAGACTTTTGTTCTAGGATCATGAACTGGTTTTAGCGTCTTTGTCGTGGTCAAATATGTCGATGAACAATATAAGAAAACACATTTTTCCCCCTGACTGTGAACGCCACCTTTTTGTTTTTGCAGGTAACTTTCCGTACGAGGATCTATCACTGCAACATCAACAGTCAGGGGGTGATCTGTCTGGACATCCTGAAGGACAACTGGAGCCCCGCCCTCACCATCTCCAAGGTGCTGCTGTCCATCTGCTCCCTGCTCACAGACTGTAACCCAGGTGAGGCTGAACTGTCCATCAACGCTCAGTATTTAGAGCAACTCCACAGTGAAGCAGAGGTGTTGGGAAACAATTGTTCAGTGTCTGAGGTCAACAAGTTCAAAGTTGGATTTATGAGTTGAGCAAGCTGCAACAAGCATCTATCATACCATTTTGTTAGTGGTAGAAAGTTCTACTCAAGGGAAGCTTTTTTTCATTTTTTCATCTGGCTTTCTTCAAATCTTCTCTATTTACGCTCTACTTCTCGCTCCGTGTCACACCAAGTATATTTTATAAAGAGAGACAGGAGAATAAATCCTACTTTAAGGCCAAATGCCTTCAGAATGTCATCTGAATCACTTTCGAGCTCACTTTAATAGCATTTCCAGGGTTTTAGAAGAGTAATCTGAAACTCTGGCTGGTGAAATGTTGTCAGTGCTGCCACCTTGACAGGAAACCCTGCGTCATCTGGACATCCTATCGTACTCTTTAAATGCCGTTTGCTCGTAAGAGTGAAAGCGAATTTGCATGTTACCGGCCAACCAGGGGCCACAGACAAAAGTTCATTTAGTTATGCAGAAAACATTCGATGCCTAGTTAGTGCTGCTTTATTAAAACGTTGTGACAGGACGGGACTTGTCTGATAATGCTTTGGTAGAAAAGATGTACTCCAAAATGTTATTAAAGAAGGTTTTCAAAATGGGTAAGTTGAGGTAGTGACACCTGTATTAATATTCCTAACATGCCACCCAAAGCCTTCACTTGATTTTGCTTTGCACCTAACATTAATTCTTGTTAATGAGTAAATAAAAGTTCAACAAAACAAAATGGTAATGGCAGACTTTATTTCTAAACCCGTTAGTGTATTTTTCTCCGTCTGTTGTTTTATTTCTAAGTGCATAGCAACTTAATGTGAAACCTATTTTCCCGTCCAGCCGACCCCCTGGTGGGAAGCATCGCCACCCAGTACACGACTAACAGAGTGGAGCATGACCGAACAGCCAAACAGTGGACGAAGAGATACGCCACATAAACCCACAGAAGACGACGAAGGGTGAAGAAGAGAAGGGGGAGGGGGGCTGCGGGTTGTTGTTTTTGGGGGGTTATTTCTATCTCAGATTTGTAGTGCTTTATTGTCTGGTATATTTTTTGCTTCCTGATTAAGTTATCTCCACAAATATGGTAATAAAGGAACACAATGGAAAGGAAGTCCCGTCTCTTTTTTGTTTACATTGTTATTAAAGGGCGGATTCCCCATGCAAACCTGCTGAACACATGAACAGTAATCACTTACAGTCATGCTGAAAACACTTCCATTATTATAACAAGTTGCACTTAACTATTGTAATTAATGTTGTGGTGTGAGTAGATTTTGGCTCATTAAATGATAGGTATCAAACACTTAATTAATGGATTATAACACACTAATAATAGACGGATATCATTTGTCTAAACCTGCTGTATAATACCTTCTGTTGACTGCCGGAATTGGTTGGTTTGTAATATTGCCATGATGACGAGAGGAAAACAGTTGTAGTAATATAAAACAGAAGTTACATTGTAAATTATAAAGTTGTTAGGTGATCAAAAAATGTCATTGTTAAAACCTTTCCTTATCTTCCTACAACCACAGTTTATAACACAATATATAGACATATATATTGCTGTAAATGTTAAATAGGGGTGTTAAAGTACAGGTAAAGTAATAGTGATACAATCTGTACAGTTTGTGTTCTGGCTGCAGCTGCCACATTCCTCGACTGCTCGACTGTTTCAAGAACTTTCCCGAGCATCAAATAAACAGTTAGATTCAATGGCTTGCCGTCAAAATATCTACCAAATAAAAATATAAAAAGAAAGCCTCCTTTACCTTTGAATGTTTGCCTCAAATCATATCAAAGCACCATTGGTAATGCCAACACACCTGTCTGTGCCTTTTGCAGGAAGAGCTGTAACCCGTGGCAGATAGGCTAAAGACACGTTCCCCTATGTATATCACAGTTTAGCAAATAATCACAAAATGGTTGTATACAATAAACTTTTCAACTGTTTCTCCCACACATGAGAGCTGCCATATACTAGTATGTTGTGTATTACATTTTAATTTGTCATTAAATAAGACAAAGGATTCATCACTTAATGGTCATCACAACACAATTGCTGTGAAAACGGGTTAATCGGATGATATCATTCTCCGGCCGTAACATCATTGCAGTTTTGACTTTGTTTCTAATTCTTGGTGAAGATAAATTGCCACTGTTTGGGTCTTTTTTGCATAGCAGGATCACTACATTAGCTACATAACCACACTGGTATCTAGGAAACAACCAGCACCAACTCTCTACTTCAGACTTTGTTCCACGTTAAAGCACACAAGACCATAATTCTTCTATGTCACCCTTTTCACTCGGTGTTAGGGTAGTTGGCATTTTCCTCAAAGTGAAGTCACCTTTCCAACATCGTCCAGGGCAGCCAAGGCCGAGAAAGATCTGTCAATCTGTTTGCAAATAACCGCCTTTTTCTTTCTCACTCTTCACTTCAGATTTTTAATGGGACTTTTCAATATGCTCTACATTCAAAATGTATAGTTTTCTCTGTTTACAACACGAATGCTAGTCACAGCCAGTCACCATTTTGTGTGGACTGTAACGTCATAAAAACTCCAGTTATTAATATAAGTATGCATTTCAGAGAGGTGGGGAACACGCTGTCCTGTCCTCAGGTGTCAACACAGGAAAAGCGATATGTTATATTATCAATTCAGTCCAGGAGGTGATACAAATGATCAGTGCCTCATAAAACAATTATAAGTTGACTATTTAAGATGGTCACCTCATTGATAATACCGTTTTTTTATGTTAACTCAGTACAGCAGAGTCATGACAAGCTGCTTACTGTAAGCCTTAAGAATAGGTTCATATCCCCACTGAAAAGAAAGCAGCAACATAATCAAGTTGTTTTTGATCAATTGGAAAGCAATAAAGTGTGACATAAGCATTAAGAGAAACAAACAAAGTCCTAAGAGTTACCTTTATTTTCAGATATGCTGGGGATAAAGTACAGTGTGGGAAGGCAATGTTTAGAAGGCTCTCGTATGAAAGTCTAAAACCTTTCACCCCCGTATGAATGGGAAACAGTATGTAAAGCAGTATTTGTGAAATCTAATTGGATTATCTTCTTATTTCCCCCCTTGCTTTAGAAAAAGTAAACCTAAGGGATTAGTCTCAGAATATTTTTTTCATTCAATTCACTTTTTTCTTTGCGGGTAAAGGTTATATTCTTGTTTTTCCACGAGAGATCTGGCCAAGAGAGCAGCCTTAAAGGATTGTTACACTAGAAAACCAGAAGACGCCAGGAACCATGAGATCATTTATAAGTGTCATTCAAATCAAGTCACATGTACAACTTTCCAAAACAAAAGACATGTTCCATCCGGCATATGGCGTGTCCAGGCTTCTTGATCTGGTGAACCACAGGAGCCTAAACTGGCTTGACAGGTTAATCTGGTAGATAATAATACACCTAACTCTGTACATGTATAAACATGCTTTTTAAACGTACAAAGTGTTGCTCTCTATTCTTTGAATAATCTTATGTAACAGTTGAAACAAACCCAATTGGTTATATGTACCATCACAGAAAGTGTCCAAAGGTAATGGTTTAATATTTTCCAAACACAGCTGATGTTGTGCAATAACAACTCTCAAACGTGAAATTTCTCTGGTCAGCAAGTGTAAAAGTTAATCATTTGCTTTTGTGTCAGTACTTCACAGCAGTATACATTTTAGCCTGTGAGAGTAAAGTCACTGGTGATACAGTAGCCATAAAGAAGTAATATGATGGAGTAAACGGACGATAAGTACATAGTGTTCTAACAACAGCTGCCAAGAATATTAGAGAATGTCAGCTCGAGAGAAATTCCTGTGGTTAGCTTTGTTTTGATGAAACATTTGCGGTGCATAGTGGTTTCTTAGGTTATCAAGTTCACAGATTTGGTGTTCACGTTTTAGACATCTAGGTCAAACATTAAGTGTTCCAGTGACTGGATTCCAGAGTATAATTCAGATCCCAGTGATCCTGCATGATTGTCTTTATTGTTCCTTTGGAATATGTCAGATATAGTGTATGTTAAAAGAGTTTTTAACAATTAGATATTTTAGGGAAACTCTGAAATACATATAAATGTATCCATCAGAATCACAATAACAATGCTACAGCATGTGCATGTTTTCCATGTTCACCATCTGAGTTGGAACATGAAAGCCGGTGGCAATTTTTATGGTAATCCATCCAATAAGAGTGGAGACATTTCTCTTCAAACCACAAATGCCAAGGGTGCACGTGAGCGCCACTTGTTGATGGTAGCAATTAGCAATGTTATATCACAGCAGTAGGTGTGTGTTTCGGTTGGCAAATATGTGTTTTACATTTCATAACAATCTGGTTAAGATCTAATGTATTCATTACTCCCTTGTCCTCTTGCTTCTGATTTGACAACATGGGGTGGTGTGGTTGGAGGCCAACAGTCTGTATCCTTTTACTAAGAAGGGTTTAGTAAAATCCTTTAAACACCACATCGGCTATCCTTTAAAATACTCTAACTGCAGTTTCACATGAAGTGCTTTTTACTTGATCTATAATTTGCCAATTACGTCCTTCGACATGCAACCATCGAATCTTTGATTTCTTGGGGAGTCTGAGGACTTCCAGGGGATTTGACAAAGTCAAAAATAAAACAATTTCACTTGTGTGTATAAATAGGATTGTTTTTGTACTGATCAGTGTCTTCAATATAAGTCCTGTAACTGTGCGTAGGTGTCATAGACTCTCATTTGTCTAATAAAAGGGATTTATCATTTAACAGTGAGATTATCTACTCCCACCCTAAACTGAGAAGTAAAACACAGTAACATAACACAACATTATTTGAATCTGCATAGCAAGAGCGTTGCTTGGGGGTTGATGTAACAAAGGTCTGGAAAACCTTTGACTGATTCATGTTGGATTTAATAGGAAAAGCTAGGACCTACTTTTGCAAGTAGTCAATGTAAGGTGAAGGTACGTTTCAGACACAAAGGCAATTTGAAAGAGCTTTACACAAGCACTTACAAACAAATGAACTTCATAAAAAAGAGATATTTAAAATCAAATCACATAACGTCTGGATATGAATTACTTATGATAGTTTAGTAATGCATTACCTACTGTCATCACTGATGTTAGTTTAGTTAAAGCTACTAGAAGCCTAATTTGCAAAATACATCTTATTATTTAATAGATAATGTTGTCTGTATTTTAATTGTGTCTACATAATTGCTTCCATGTAGTGTACCACACATTTCATTTGAAACACAAAGTAGTTTCTTAGAATGTAACTTCAAAAATAATTTCCATGAACTGCATAACCGTGCTCTGTTGTTCCGGCTTCTCCCTTCTTCACGTTGTGCTCTGCAACCATGTCTGCAACGTGAGCGCTGTGTTACATTCCTCGTTACGTCCACGAGGCGCTTGGCTCCGCCCCCCTGGTGTCCTGAAAGTGTGTCACTGGGTTAAAGTGGCTCGAGCGCCTGGGTTTAGGGGCGTGGCCGACAAAATGGGTCACATGGGCGAGCCCACTATTGAGAACATTTAGTTCTCCTGAATAACCCGCAGTCACACACATCAAGGGGGAGCTCCTCCGACTCAGACGGTAGTTCTCTCTCACCGACTCGGACCTGCAGATTATTTCCACAAATAGACTACTGAAATTAGATTTATCTTTAAACTGCTCACGCACAAACAATTGTAATATCTTCGTGGGTGTTTTGGCGAAAGTGGCAACAGTCGTGACAGATATTTTGCATTATATCTGTTTTCCTATTCCTCAAAACGAAATGCCTGAGGACATGGGGACAGCCAAGCCTGGTAAGAAACCAATATTTTAAAACGATTGTCGCAGTGAAATGCAAAGACTGAGTTTTTCATTGCATGCACTATGCAAACTTTATTGCAGGGATAGTGTCAACATTGACGTAAATGAAGTGTTATGTATAATTTATTATAAAACTGATTTAAAGTAGGCTACAACAAGTTGTTTTATGTATTTCTTGCCGGTATTGATACTACAGTGGCATGGAATTGTGATAATACTATACTTATATATACTTATGAGTTGAATTCACCGAATGCATCATGAGTTTTAAAATCCGTCCAGGAATTAAGAAAG